CTCAGCCTTCTCTTGTGGAGGCTGAACAGGTTCAGGTCCCTTCACCTCTCCTCATGGGGCCTGTCCTGCTGCCCCCTGACCATGCGAGTGGCCTCCTCTGGACCCTCTCCATGTTGTCCACATCCCTCCTGAAGTGCGGTGCCCAGAACTGGACGCAGTACTCCAGCTGCGGCCTGACCGGTGCCTCGTAGAGGGGGAGGATCACCTCCTTGGACCTGCTCGAGATGCATCTGTGGATGCATGACAGGGTGCAGTTGGCTTTCCTGACCGCGTTCCCTGCATTGCCGGCCCATGTTCATCTTGGCATCAGTGATGACTCCAAGATCCTTTTCTGCCTCTGCACTGATGAGAAGGGCGTTCCCCAGCCTGTAGGTATGGTGCTGGTTTTTCCTCCCCAGGTGCAGCACCTTGCACTTGTCGGTGTTGAATCCCATCCTGTTCTCATCCGCCCACCCCTGTAACCTGTCTAGGTCTGATTGCAGCCTATTCCTCCCTTCTAGCGTGCCCACATCCCCTCACATCTTAGTGTCATCAGCAAATTTGAACAGGTGCTCTTTCCCCCCTTGTCCAAATCACTGATGAAGATGTTGAACAGTGCGGGCGCGAGGACCGAGCCCTGGGGGACCCCACTGCCCACATCCTCCAGGTCAAAAATGACCCATCTACCACCAAAAACGGACTTATGGCCAACTTTATGTATGAGCCCCACCCCGCCATCTCATTGTTCATTTTACTGCCCAAGTTGCTGGCTTGCTGAACTGCCCACTCGGGGGTTATTTCTATTTCTTTGCATGTGATCAGAGTACTTTTTAGGGCCATGGGTTGTGTCTAACCTGCCACGGCAGAGTTGCGTCTTGTTGCCTGACGTTTATTTTTCTGCTTGAGCTTGCACTGCCCTCCCTGAGTGGTGTCTGCCTGTCAGTTCCATGCCTGCTTGTAGAAACTGGGAGAACAAGATTTCTTCTCATCTGGAGATCTCCTTCTATTGTGTAGTTCACCTGATGAAAGATCTTCCCAAGTGCAATCATGCTTCAGGCGTATTCCCTGGACCATTGCAGCAACAGCAGCTCTGCTATGAAAATGGGGGCGGGAGCACATGAAGTTCAGTGGGTTTTCTTTTTCTGATCTCTTGTGTTTTTTTTGAAAACGCTGAAGCCTACTTCTCTCTCTTTTCCTCTGTACCCCCACTGTGAGCACAGTCCCAGACTTTAAGGACTGAAGGAGGAAAAGGGAGAGAAGAACCAAGAAAAGAAAATGACTGTAAATACTTGAAATGGTTCAGGAATGCAGGAAAGCTGGTGATACAACTCCCTCTCAGTAACGAGTCTGACAGTGGTGTGACCAGGAGCCCCCAAGCACTGGTTTTGAGATGCTGGAGATTTGGCTGCTACATTTATATTCGTAATGGCCTTGTGTTCATCTTCTAGAGGATTTGGTTATGTCCTTTGTGTATATCCATCTGGCAGCCTCTTGCTAACATCTCTTTTAATGCAGGGCTCCTTGCTGCAGTGTGCTCTGGGACACCGGCTCCAACCATCCCTGCCCATACATCTTGCCACTGCTGTGAGCTGGTGCCAGGGCCGGGCAGGGGAGAGACATTGTTGGGTAGGTGGGGAGTGGGCCCTGATCTTGCCTGTTTCTCTTTCTTCCTGCTGCAGGTGAATCCAGAGTACGAGAGCACCTTTGTCTTCGACAATGACTTCCCTGCACTGGAGCCAGATGCCCCGGAGCCCGGTGAGGCAATGCCACAGTGCCCTGAGACTCTGAGGGATGGGGCCTGTCCACCCCCTTCCCTCGCCCTGAGCAGATGCTGGCTGAGGGGCTGGGCTGTCATGTGGGGCGGTGCTTGGTCCAGCCCAACAGGCTGCATCTGCTCTGGAGGGGCCTGGCCTGGGCTGGCTGGGCTTGGGGGTAAGGGGCACCAGCAGGGCTCTGGGTGGGTGCATGGGAGGCTGGGGGTCGGGGACGAGGGGCACTAAGGCTGGATAGCTTATGCCATGCTAAACTCAGCTCTGCTTCTCGAACATGCTGTCTCCCAGATGTTGGCGACCACCCCTTGTTCCAATCGGCCTCTGCCCAAGGAGTTTGGTAAGTTAAACTTTTGCCACTAATCACGTGAGGGCCTTGGAGTGAGCACAGAGGCGGCTGCTCTGGGTCTCTGCTTTGCTGTAGGCCGCTTGCCAGCATCCCCCACCCCCCAGGCAGTGCCCATGCCTTAAATGCTCGCTGAGGAGGGATGTCTCAGCTCTGACCCCCACGTGCTGAGTGGGACCCTGCCTGGCCATGAACCTGCAGTACTGTGAGGCTGGAGTATCGAGCTGGCTAGAGGAGGGGGCACCCTGGAGACCCAGGGACTTGCCTCACAGCTCCCATGGCATCCTGGTGGTGTGGGAGGGGGTGGGGACCCTACCCCACTAAAGCCTTGCTGCTCTGCTAGTCTCTGCTGGCCGGCATGGAGCTGGGGGCCAGCACTGGCTACAGTACCCAGCCCACGCAGCCTGGGGCTGGGAGGGTGTCCGTGTCCCCAGGGCTCCTGAGCACTGGGTCTGCTCTCACCGCACTTCCCCCCCATCCCCCAGCAAGGTGATGTGCTTCCACCCGTGGTCTGACATGACGCTGCCGCTCATGGCACTGCCCGAGATCCGGGCAGTGATTGACAAGTGGGCAGAGCTTGCGGTGGAGCTGGGTGCCACCTACCCCTGGGTACAGGTCAGTACCATGCCTCCCTCCATCCCTGGTGCCCTGCTGCTGTCATGGCCTTGGGGTGGGCTGGGAGCATGGGGGGCAGAAGGGGTACCCCCTATCCAGCGACTCTCTCAGGGGGTTGATTGGCAGCTGTCTTGTGCCCTTGTCCCCTGGGAGGCAGAGGTGGGAGATGTCTGCTGTCCCTGGGGAGTCGGGCCTGCTATGTCCCACCCCTGCTGGCTGGCTCCATGCCTCAGGGGCACTGCCCCTGTTCTGGAGGAGGGGAAACTGTCTCAAGGCCAGGTAGGGGAGAGGCTGTCGTCGTCTTTTTTTTTTTTTTTT